TAAGGGTGGTGAGATTAATTATAAGGGTGGTGAGATTAAATATAAGGGTGTTGGTATTAAATGATAAGGGTATTAATTGTAAGAGTGCGCATTTGATTATAAAATTATAAGGGTCTTATAATTAATTATAAGGGTGATGGAATTAAATCATAAGGGTGTTGGTATTGAATTATAAGGGTGTTGGTATTAAAATATGTAGGCGCACAAAAATTATGCCTACAGTCAAAAAAAAAGATGTAGGCACATTTTTGTGACGCCTACATTTTATTTTTAAAATGTAGACGCACACAAATGACGCCTACATTGGTTTTTCAGCCTGTAGGCGTCATTTGAAAAGGGAAAAAGCGCCTACATCATAAATGTAGGCGCTTTTTCGTGGGAAACCTTCATGTAGGCGCTGTTTTGGCAGCGCCTACATGGATTTCGTGTGGGCTGCAAATAGCAAGGGCCTTGATAAAAAGGTTCGGATGTCCTGGGGTTCTGGTTAATTCGATGTTTTGTTTTGGGATTGGTTTTTTGGTTTAGGTTTCTAAATCCAATGGAAGAAAAAGGATGATTAGTAAAATGGTTTGATGAATGTATTCAGATTTGATGGAACAGAATGCAAACTTTTTTCATGATCATCTTGGTTTGTTGAGGTGGATGGATCGTAGTTGTAGAATATGTACCATCAATAAGATTCAGAAGCATCAAGTACTCAAAACTATCAAATTTTCAAGCAGGCAAGGAGTTTTGTCCAGTTTTGTTCAAATTGATAGTTCTCCTTTAATGTTTATGATGATGATTCGGACTGGGAGATTAACAAGCACAGGAAACAAGAGACAATTTTCCCGCGGGAAGACCGATTACACATCATGTAGTTTCTGAGCCATAATGTACAAATAACACAGATATAACACCAAAATAATACATTTTGGCTCGTTAACTGAGTCAGATACAATTGGGTTTCCCACGGGAAAATTGTCTTTTGTTTCCTGTGAAGGGTTTTTTAAAAATTGGATCTTTCATCAACATTCTTTTCATAAACCGACAACTGCCCAACATCAGGGACTTATTCAGGACACCAACAACTGTGTTACAAAAAGTTCATCTAGTTCTTTGCTCATAAAAAACTCTATGATGCCAACCGTCTCGGAACAGACTCCTCTCCCCCTAAGATCACAACCCCTCTTTCCTTCACTTTTTTCTCACTCATGAACCACCTTTTTCCATTCCCCTTTCTCGACACATCCCGTCGTGGGTATTAAGGAGTCTTTTGAGGTCAAATTTTTGGTAGAAAAAAATGGAACGTGGTGTAGGGTAGTGGATGGTGGGGGAAAACAGGTGGGAGTTATTAAAAAAAATTTGGAAAAGAAGGATGGGGTGGTTTTTGAGTGATATGCATTAGAGTTGTGACTTACCATTGGTGTTTGTTTGCGTTGTTCCTCTGGACAATCGCCAACGCTCCGCTTTGGTTGCTAGGACCGCTTGTTCCGGTTTTCGGCACAATGGCAACTTGGTTGCCTGACTCGCTAGGTCCTGCGACTGCGTTTCCGTGGTTGAAACTCTGGGCTCCATGGCTCGAGTACGCGTACGGTTGGTAATGAAAACTCGGTTGGCGGTTGTACTGGTTGTTGAGCGGGTGGTAGGGCAAGTTGTGAAGTCCTCGACCATATTGACTTCCTGCTCCACTGTAGGGTTGGTTTCCCCCTCTAACGTTGCCTCTCTGATTGTTCTGATGGCTGACGTTTTTCTGGAACTTATTCCCCCTTTTTCCACCCTCGTAGCTGTTTCCTCTCCAGTTGCCACCCGAGCTCCCTCCGTTCTGGTTCGCCGCTGCGAATTCTCTTTTTATGAGGCTTCGTTCCCTAGATCCAAGTAAGTCCGGTGTCTCGCTGCTTGTGACGTAAGGGTTTTCCGTCTGGCTCCGCTCCCCCATCGCCTCTGCCTTGTCTTTGGCAGCTCGGAGAATGTCCTTGTGTAGGATTCTGGCGTTGCTCATGACCCTCTTCCCGTCTTTTTGCCTGAACTGCATTACCAGTTTTCTGACTTTGATGCAGTAGCGCAAGGCTACCATCCAGCAGGATGTGGACCGTTGAATTTCGATGACATTCAGCTTGTGCTTTCTAAAGTTCTTGGCGCACCTCGGCATGTTGTAATACTCGTCAACGTATCGGATGAACAGGTCCATGTGGTCTAGCCAGTCGCCATAATTCAAGAGCAGCTCATCTTTAGGTACGAGACCGGAGTATGTCATCGTGTCGTCTCCTTCCTGCAACTCTTTTACCGTCTTGACCTTTTTCTGACTTGCTTTCTCTGAATCTCTGTCTATCCAGTCCATGTTGAACACCGTAAGGGGTACAAAGGACTTCAACTTGGTCATGCGTTGGTGAAAACAGTGCGACAGTTTGAGTAAGCTGTTATTCGGGAGTTGTTGGTCATCCACGAAGGTGATGTCCTCCTCCGGGTTCCCGGTGTCTTCCTCCTCTTTGCTCGTGCTTTTCCCTTTCGACTTCATCACTTCCGGCATCACTGGTCTTGGATTCGGTTGCGATTGGATTGGCTCGCAGACAGCACTCCGTTGGACTGGGGGTCTGATCTCTACCGTGGCTGGTGATCTGTTTGGCTCCTTTTGCCTTTGCCTAGGCTCATCGTCGACAATCAAGGACGCCGTTCTGGGTCGGTTCTTCTCGACCTGCGGTTGGCTTCGAGTCTTTTGCCGACCTCTGTCTGATTCCGACTCTGGGTCGAACGGAATATGACCGTACATTGCTTCGAATGCCGCTAGCATTGTCCTCCTGAGCATGACTTTGTTTCGGTTGAACGTGTCCACAATGGCACCCCACCATCTGTTCTTACTCTCCAGGTGTGTATCTGCAAAAAAATTTCCACGTGTAATTCTTATCAGAATGGGGTTCTTATTCTTGTCTCTGACAGGGATTTGGCATTCTTCCTTATGGTATCCTCGATTAGAGGAGTAGAAGACGGATGTTGTATTGTTCCTGAGTAACTGTGCGTGGTATTTCAAGGTGTCTGTTTTGAATCACCTCCTTGGATATAGCTCCAGGTGCCTCGGTTGGTGCCGGCATGAATTAATCATGGGATAGTAGATATGTATGATGGATGACACAATTGGGGAGAGATCACCGGACATAGCTCTGGTGTGCCTCGGCTTTGCCGGATGGTTCTGTTGAACGCGTACTACTGTACTTCTTGGATTTGGAGTGTGGATTTGGGATGGAGGACGGACTTGGGGCTGTGGTACGAGATGCGGTTGGGTGTTTAGGTGTGTTTCTCTTACCATTTGTTGTACCCTTTTCACCATTTTCTTCTTCTTCAGAGAGCTCACTACTGGCTTCTGTGGACTCCTTCTCCATCCTAACCGGGCCGAAAGGGCATATTAGACCCGCTGACGTCCCTGTGTTTGTGGTTTCGGCCGTCGTCCCGGAGGGGTTTTCATGGTAATTTTCTACGAATTTGATGTCTTCTTCATTTCTGCATTCGAGCTCTTCTTCTACAATGAATTCTTCCAACACTTCTTCTGCTTCCTCCCGTTCTTGAGATTGATTGTTCACCTCGTTACGGGTTCTAGATCTGCTCCTTAACCTGGGGCCTGATTCCCCATTGCGTACCGCCTCTTCAGCTCTTTTCCGTGATTCAGCTAGCTCTTCTAGGAATGTTACCATATTTGCACTTGCTGTTTTCTGTTGCTTCGTGTCGTGCCTTTGTCAATAATTTGTAAATAATGACAACAATAATTTGATAACTTAGTTCTGATCCGGAAAATGGAGTGCTGAGTTCGGCTTCTGAGATCTGGGTGCGTGAGGAAATGAGGTTGAGTTTTCCCTTGGGTTGAGGGAAAACTTTTTCCGCACGCCTGGCAGGTCGCGCTATTAGCATATGCTTGTGTGCGCTGCAACCTGCTCTCAGCCATGGAACTCGCTTCCCAGTCGTGCCTTGGTTGGAAGCACCAATTAATTGAATCACAAGTGGACCAAGAAGATCAAGAGAAAATTTTAATAAATAAAAAAAAGAAGGGGATACGGCAGAGAGGGATCGATCGACTGTTACCTAGAAGGATGATCAAGGGAAGAAATTATCAAATTAAATGGAAAAGAGTCAGTAAAGATTAAAAGAAGAAACAAATCAAAGAGAAGAACTTACAGTAAGAATACAGTTGAAGGTTAAAAGGTTGAGATAGATTTAGTGATTGAGATCGAGTGTAGAAGTTGGGGTCCATGAGGATCGATTAAAAAATAAAACTATAAAGTAAAACTAAAAGATTGAATCAAGTAAAAGGATCTCAGTAAAGTAGCAAAGCATCAAGAAGGTGAATCATAACAGGGAAAAGAGAATAGGCTTACAAGTGAGGGGAAGTCAAGAGTGTGATTGATGGATTCAAAAAAAAAGGAAAGAGGTGCTGGGAATAGAAACTTAGAAGGAAGAGCGAGATAGATTAAAAGAGAAGGTGGAGGTGGAGAAATCAAAAAGGACAGTCAGAGATTGAGTGGTAGGATACTAGAAAGGACATGAAAAAAAACAAAATAAGTTAGTAAATGAAAAGAACCAAAGTTAAAGATGAAAAGGAAAGAGAAGTGAAAGACCTACCTTGAATTGGAAGTGGTGATCAAGATAGGAAGGGAAGGTGGAAATTCGGGTGGAAACAGTACCAGCAGGATCAATCGGGTCAAAGAAGCAAGGGAAACTTAAGTAAGAGGTGAAGCGAATTACAAAATGAGGTGATGAGCTTGAGTTGAATAATAAAAGGATGAGCAAGAAGGAATGGGGACTCACCTGAATAAAAAGGGAAACCTTATCGAAAATTGAATGAGGAAAAGACCTTGACGTGATCTGAGCAGAGTCGAGTCCGATCGGAGTAAAGAGATGAAGAAAAAGGAGACAGGGGTAGACCAGGTTCGTTTTGTTTGTTTGAGAGGGAGGAGTTTTTCTTTTGTTGTACTTCATCTAGAAATAAAAGAAAGATAATAAGCGTTTAAAAGAAATATAAGTCTGGGAGTTTTTTTTATTAGAAAGTGTTAGCAATAGTGTCTTGAGAGTTTTCTTTAAATAAATAAATTAGTTGAGGTTCTTGTTTGAAGTTTGAAGTGAGACTTGTTCAATTGGTGGCTTTTGATCTTAGCTTCTCCTAAATTGTATCAGTTGTGGTGTTAGTGATCTTCTTGGTATTTTGAAAGAAGGAATCGGTGGTGTTGCTGAGCTGAGTCAAGAGATTGATTAGTTATTTTTTTATTTTTATTATTCTTTTACTACAGTTCACCTTACATAAAAGGTCATTGTCAAGGCCAGCCCTGATCCTTGGTTCAAACCCCTTATAGGTCTTAGATAGTTTTTTTTAGAATTTTTATTTTTTTAGTGTAGTCCTGCTAAAAATTATACTTGGGTTTGGAAAATTTTATTTCCTTCCTCCTATCCCTTTACTCTTCATGAATTATTTAGGTTTTATTTTGTTCAAATATCAAATTTATTTTTTTACACGTAGTAAGAATTACAATAAAACTAGAATTCAACATAGTTTTACATCACAACCTTGTGTAGTATTGTGTGGTATATCATTGTAATCCGCCATATCTTGCGGATCTTTTAAAAATATTAGATTGGTGTGACAGGATAGATTTGAGAAGGTAGAAAACCGTGAAAGAAGCAGGCTCTATTTTATTCCCTGAGTCTTTTGAACTTCATTTACAAGGTTGAGGGCAGTCTACGACAATCTTAGTTTCATCCGCATTGTTATTCTTTCCGCGTGGTGACTCTTCCCCTCTGCGGCTCAGCCTACGCCACACAGCGTAGGAGTTCTACATCTGGTGACTCCACTGGGGCAATTTCTCAAAACAACTTTTGTGTCTTTGCAGGTGCTCTTCCTCAAAAGTAGTTTCTAAAACTCAAGATATCAATTTCAATTTTCAAATTCATCTTATCATCAATTTAAAGTACTAGTCATTCCGCAAATCATCAAACTTCAAATCTCAAAAATTATCAAATTACATCTCAGAACTACGCGTTGAAATTTATTCAATCCTCAAGACAATCATATATCTCAGTTAAAATTTAACTACTCAAATTTCATTTCAAATTCAGTGATTCACATCAAATTATTTTATCAGAAGTAAAATTATAATCTCAACATTATCTATCTGCAAACCATCAAAGTGTTTGCTTGGCAAATTCACATCAATTCACCTTTAAAATTTACATCAAACCATCAAACCAGATTCCCATGAACTGATCCTTGCGGTCACCATCATCATATTTCTTTACTTTGCGTATTTTAAGCTCATCATAACTCAAATTTCATCATACCAGAGTTTTTCAAAATCCTGTTATTCATATTTCAGATCTTAAATTACTTCAAAATCTCAACTTCTGCGCGGATACAAATCTGAAGTGGTGGTTATCAAAATTATTTACATCAATTATTCAGACATTCACCAATCAAACTTGCAAACTCTTGTATTTCAATTTCTAACTTAGAAATCAGAATCATCAATACTACATTCCCAACAATCATTGAATCTTGTATCTTATCATGTCATCTCAAAAGGATCTTCCACCGGCAACAACTTCAAAACAAACTGCAACAGAACCTGCTGTGTCTGGATCTGGTACTAAAGGCGGGAGTGTTATTGGTCAAGAGGAACGTAAGTTATACAGGGAAAAGGAAGAAAGTGGTGATGATTCAGGGGATAATGTTACAGAAAAGGGTTTAGAAGGAATGTTTAAGGAGGAAATTGTTTCAGTGGACGATGTAGAAGGAATGATGAAGGACGGTGGAATTTCAGTTAAGGAAGCGGAGGAGTATTTAGAGGAGGCTCGAGTACAGGCGGAGAAGATGGAAAGGTTGTTGAAAGCATTGAAGGAGGCAAAAGTTAAGGCGGATAAGAGGCAGGGGAAAGGAAGGAAGAAATTTTACAGTAGTGATGGTAGTTCAAGTTCAGATGATGAAGGTGATGTTGAAATTAAGAAGAAAAAGAAGAACAAGAAGAAGGTTGTAAAGATTGAACCCCAAGATTCAGAATTCCGATTTAGACGCGGGGATGATATTGAAAAGTTTTTACGGGATTTTGAGGTTGCTGCGCAAGTAGATGGTACTGGTGGTATTGATATGGCAATTCAGGGGTGCGCATTTGTAGATGGAAAGGATCTAAAAGAAGAAATTAAGGAACTTGATGGTTGGGGTGAAGGGGAATGGAATTGGAAAACTTTAAAGGCGGAGATGAAGGACCGGTATGTGTCAATACGTGAGGCACCTAGGTATACAATTGAAGATTTGAAGGAATTGGTGTTGGAGTACGAAAGAAAAGGTGGTATTGATTCAAATTTGGAGTTTGAAGGTTTTCGTCACAAGTTTGAAAGCATCTTAGTTTATTTGAAGAAAAATGATTATATTGATTCTGAAGATGAAGTTTGTACGGATTACTATGGAGCTTTTTCAGATAATATGCAGAAGAAGATGAAGGAAAACCTAAGGGATGAAGATGAATTGAGGATTACAAAGGATGGAAGACATAGATTACCGGGGTGGATAGTGTTAAAGAAGTCAATTGAGAAGGTATTGCGGGCGGAAGTTGAATTGGTATTTGAGGAATTACGCGGAAAGAAAGAAGTTGAGATGAAGAAGGATGATGAGATCAAGGAGAAGGTGGTACAGAAGGATATGGAAAGAAGAGGTTTAAAGATGGAAGGATTGAACAAGTAGATTGGCGGAAAGTCAGGGGATGAAGCAACTATTAGTGAATTAGTTAGACAGTTTGAGGCGTGGAGCAGTCAAGGAATGAACGGACCTTTGGCTGGAAATCAGAACATTCAAAATCATTCTAGTTTTCAGAATAAAGCATTTTCCGGACAGCAACAGAGCCTTGGTCCGTCAGCTCAAAACAGTGGAGCTGCGCCTAGTTTTAATGTTTCAAATTATTTTAGAAATGGTCAGCAAGGAGGTCAAAACTTGAATAATAATTCTTCTGGTCCTAATTTTAATAATGGTGGTCAATACGCAAATTTTGGGATGACTAGAGGACGAGGTGGATATTCAGGTAATAGGGGTGGTTATGGAGGAAATCAGTATGGACGTTGTAGAACTTATAACCCAACAAGGGTTATACAGAGCTGGAAGAGGATAATCCACTAATAAAATGACTAGTAGAAGTTGTCTAAGGACTGCTCTTCTAAAACAACACAATCAGAAAGAGCTCTGTTGTATTGAGTACTGATAAGGCACCAGAGAAATATATCTTCACACGTAATTTAACTTCAAAAGCACACTTTGTATTACTATCAACACTGCTATAGTGTTATTCCCAATTGATAACTAAAAGAAATAAGCAATATCTGATTGATATTATTCCCAATAAGTCTTTATGACTATAAAACTAAAGTAAATTTCTCTTTATAATTGTAATAAAGGGCGTATTTAAGTGACCAGGTACTATTAAAATAAGTTTATAATGATAAACAAAATAATAATGGCGTAAATGATAAAGAAAAAAAAGGGGAACAACAGTCCCAAACCCCTCTCAAAGTATATGTAACAATGTACTAGAACTTTTACAATGGTCAACAGCCTCAAAACCAATCAAATCCGCCCAAAATTCCCTAAAAACCCTATGATGACACAATGTAATGATTTTGTTACTAATAAATGATGTAATTTTCACAGCTAAAAGTGATCAAT